GTTTATCGTAAGTCATATTAAATGCCTGAAAGCTAATGGTGGTGTACATTCACTTCCCCACACAGGGTTTAATACTACTCTGTACTTCACTTATGCAAAATCTAACCACAGTAATTGCAACGAGGGTTTGCTCATATCCTGCTACATAAACACAGCGACTCTCATGGCCTCTTATTTCCTCTTCTTTGTATTTTTGCGCTCTCCTGTAGTTGTGGTTCTTAGAGATTTCTCTGCGGATGAGGCGTCGGAGGAGCACTTTTGTTTTCTGTAGGTACAGTACTGTGTAAAAGTCGGAGATCCTTCATTTATTTAAATTCCAGTCAAAACAGCCTTTAAATGAGCTCATTATTCATTTTCAGGAGGTATTTCTAAAGAGATTGTATGTAAAATAATCCACTTGCATAAGGAGGGAGAACATTAAAGTGAAAAACAGGATTTTTTTTCAAAACTGCAGTTTGAAAAACTGATGAAAACTTTTCTTTACTGTCCTGGGCTCAATGGTTGTGTAGTTGGGCTAGTTTATTGTATTGTTATCTGTATTTATTGGATTGTTTTTCTGCTGTTCCGTGTTAAATGTGGCTTCGTCTGGTGGGGAAACTACATTCCGTTCCTCTTTCATCTCAATCATCGCAACATTTTATCACTATTTTGATCTTTTTTGTTATCGTAAGGACTCTTATCGGTATAGTGTAGGGTGTTTGCTCAGGCGGAGGATTGAACCCCAGTCCACAGCATATACATAGTGTATATTTAAAAAAATATACACACTGATCAGGCATAACATGATGACCACCTCCTTGTTTCTACGCTCATTGTCCATTTTATCAGCTCCACTTACTATATAGGTGCACTTTGTAGTTCTACAGTTACAGACTGTAGTCCATCTGTTTCTCTGCATACTTTGTTAGCCCCCTTTTACCCTGTTCTTCAGTGGTCAGGACCCCCATGGACCCTCACAGAGCAGGTACTATTTGGGTGGTGGATCATTCTCAGCACTGCAGTAACACTGACGTGGTGGTGGTGTGTTAGTGTGTGTTGTGCTGGTACGAGTGGATCAGACACAGCAGTGCTGCTGGAGTTTTTAAACACTGTGTCCACTCACTGTCCACTCTGTTAGACACTCCTACCTTGTCAGTCCACCTTGTAGATGTAAAGTCAGAGACGATAGCTCATCTGCTGCTGCACAGTTTGTGTTGGTCATCCTCTAGTCCTTCATCAGTGGTCAGAGGACGCTGCCCACAGGACGCTGTTGGCTGGATATTTTTGGTTGGTGGACTGTTCTCAGTTCAGCAGTGACACTGAGGTGTTTAAAAACTCCAGCAGCACTGCTGTGTCTGATCCACTCAGACCAGCGCAACACACACTAACACACCACCACCACGTCAGTGTTACTGCAGTGCTGAGAATGACCCACCACCTAAATAGGACCTATACATGCAAAATTGAGTGTGTGCATGTAACCAAAACTTTAAGCATGTTTTTTAAGCCTATTTCTGGCATGCAATGCTACCAATGTGGCGTCATGACGTAAGGATGTGGCAAGAGTGCCGCTGAAAGTGCGTCCGGGTTTATCACCGGATACACACCCTCTCCTTGTGTAAGAACGGTCCCACTCTGACCCCTGACACACTCACACTCACCCAGCACTGATTAACAAAGAAGATATGGAGCTGTGCGTGTGCAAAGTTCTTAAGATGAACTGATACAGTATCTCTACATCTAGTATTACTGCCTCTCTCTCTCTCTCTCTCTCTCTTCCTTCCTGTATAAACTCATGTGCATACACACGCATCTTTCGTGTGACCTCTTGCGCAATCATAATTAAACTATAAGACTGATTGATTGTGTTACAGCAGGGTGTGTTTGTGATGTCTCTGCAGAGTCGGGGTTAATCTGGGCTGTATGAGTTCTGTGGCAGTGCTGAGTTCATTACTGTTCTAATTAAGGCCTTGATTTAGCTGCTGCACTTTGACATAGTAAGATGATGTTCGCACATAACCTTCACAGAGGTATGTACAGGGGTGCGGGAGAGGCCTGGCTGACAGAATGAGGTAATCAGAAAATTGGAAAGTGGTATTCACATTCCTTTAGGAAGTGTGCCTGTTATCTGCCGCACACTGCACCGCTAGCTATACTAGACAGCTCTTCCCCTTCGACTTGCTTAACTCTGCGTTTAGTTTACCTCGAGTGCACAGTGTCGACATGCATCAGCTTCAGTGTGACTCGCTGCAGTAAAACAGCTGAGCTAAAGTGACTGGGTTTTACCCTAGAGCAGCTAGGGCTGCTCTATCTAATATCTAAAATAATTTTACTATACTTCTATTTTTATATCACTCAGGCCCAGTGCAGAATGGAAAATGCCTGTTTTTGGTACATTCTCACTTTGAAATATGCATTAATTATGCAATAAAACTTAAACCTCCTTAAATATATGTATTTTTCCTAAATTCAGATGATACCATTTCTACGGAGAGCATGAAAAGGAACAAAAACGCTGAATTGGCTCATAAACTAATAGGTATAGACATTTTCTAAAAATTAAGCAGCACCATATGAAAAAAAAACATCTTCTAATATTTACTGAAACTGCTGTAAATCTGTAGTCTTTTGAGAGAGTCAGGAGGCCACAGGATATTTGAAAATGGTTTTGTTTCAGAGCTCTTGAGTCCCAGCCTCGCCCAGCCTACATTTGGCAATTCTGACCAACAGGCTTTATACAATGCAGCTGTCAATGATTAATCTCTTGTAGTAAGTCTGGAGACACTCCAATTCATAACTATTCGGAAAACAAACCTAAATGACTGTCAGTATTTGTGCTGATGATTAGTCATGTAGATTAAGGTGTAGACTAAAGGAAATGGAGACTCAGCGTTGACACCAGGACCGGTCAAATGAACAGTCACGAGTGAGCTTTGCAACTTAAGAATGAAAATAAGTTAAAAAGAATAAAACTAAAAATGATCCACAGTAATTTAATTGAAACTACTGATAACTAGAATCCAAACATGGGCAGAGATTACTAAGAGCCAGGAAATCGTCCAAACAGCCACCTCTGCAACCAAAATTATAAACTGCCTCTTTCATGATGCCTCCTCTATAATGGTGGAAATAATAATAAATAAATAAATAAACCTAATTTTTTAATATGAGGCTTTGGAACTACTGGCTAGCTGTTTCTCCAGAAGGGGACATGATCAGCAAGTAAGTCGCTTTAGTGTTCGTCATTCAGAGAAGAAACATCCGTGAACCCACACCAGCAGGATCTAACCAACACAAATGTTTACAAGAACAACCTTCAAAACCAGGGGCCGTATTACAGAAACGTCCTATCTTAAGATCTGACAGGTCAAGACAAGATTTTTCACAAATTCGCATTACGGAAGCAAATCTGATCTTAATTTGAGAACCTTATCTTACAGCATCTAATCTCCAGTTAGGAAATGATAACCTACTCAACTGAAGTCGACAATCAGCTGTCATGTCTGTTACCTAGCAACCAACCAGCTAAAACGTAAACACGTAATCCAGCTAGTTAGCTAGAAAGCTAACGTTAGCACCGTTACTGATGTAGAACAAGGTTGAACAAAACTAAAGCGCGATAAACTGAGAGTGAAGAATACTGTGAGAGCGCCCCCTGCTGTTTATCAGAGCGTCACCGCTCCCCAGTTTCAGTCTCCATTTCCCGAACGCTTTAGCCGAGCGCGCTAACGTTACTCCTCCTAATAAACAGACACACGTTCAGCTCCGTCTCCTCATTATTCACCACCGTCACTGTAATATTTCATCATCAACATTAACACACGAAGGTGATCAGAGGGGCGGTGGAGATCGAGTCTGCAGCGTCTGAGATCTTTAAAACGCTGAGTTAGAAAAGAGAATCATCTCACAGTGAAAGCAGCGTTTTACAGTAGAAATAAATGGAGCTCATTATGCTGGTAGTGAACTGTGCTGCTGACTCAGCTGCCTAAAAACCATAGAAACGGACCTTAAACAGAAGTTAAGACACTCTGGGGTTTATCTTAAAGTTAAGAAAATATTTAGGATATTTTGGCAACTTAGGATGTTTCTGTAACACAGTTTTCTTATCTGAGCCTTAACTGAAGTTGCCATGACAACAAAGCAGATAAGATAGGATCTCAGACTTAAGAATGTTTCTGTAATGTGGCCCCTGAGGTGGAAAAGTTTATCACCAAAACATGTTGAGTTACTGTGTTATTTAAGTGGTTCCTATTAAATCAGTTAATGTGAGTTGAAGAGTGTGTGGAGCACAGCTGCAGTGGACCATGCGATGCGTCTCTGCTGACCATCGCAAGAGAGTGAAGAACGCAGACAGCGCTTTTATTCACAATTTCTCTGTTAAGATTTTGGCACTTCATAGTAGACCTATTTAATCCTTTGTTTTGACCAAAAGTTTTGGACACTTTTGACCGTTTTCAGTGGCCAAAGTTTCGGTGCGTCTCTGCTTTAGTCTTAATTAAGTTGAGAAGGTTCCAAAAGCTTTGCAGCTGCTTGCGTTAACATTTTGAGTTGATCTGCCTTTGGATTTTTCACACTGTGCTATTTTAATTACATTAAATCTCTAATTTTCTATTTTATTATTATATTTAGCACTTTAATTTTCTTTTTGTTAACTAACTAACTGGGCTGGAGGTTAGGGAACCAGCCCTGTTACCGGAAGGTTGCCGGTTCGATCCCCTGAGCCGACAGTCTATGACTGAAGTGCCTTTAAGCACCTGACCCGCAACTGCCCCCCCCGGGCCCTGTGGATATGTGGGGTTTCACTGCATGGATGCCGAGTTGAATTTCCCCACTGTGGGACTAATAAGGGTCACTTAACTTATTATTTAATATTATATAATGCTCTAATTTTTCTGTGTTTGTGAAGCGCTTTAAATTGCTGCGGTGTATGAAAGGTGCTATGCAAATAAACTTGTCTTGCCTAAGTGTAGTAATATAACTGATACTTTAATGTATTAATAATTAATTTTTTTATGTTGCAGGGTCATTCGCTTCATGGTACGTCATGTGAAGTACTTCTTGGGTCTGCGCTTCGAGATCAACGGCTGGGAGCACCTGCAGGCCGAGGGGCCGTACGTCATCATCTCTAATCACCAGTCATCGCTTGACGTGCTGGGTACAGTCATCTCTCAGCATGCTGGACCGCACAAACACTAGACTGCATAATCTAACATTTTTAGAATCGCTGTTTTTAGGAAGAAAACCTTACCAATCACAGATAGTGTTTTAATGAATTAATGCTTTTATTTGATCCGGCTGTCAGATGACAGTCATGATTTTTTACATACATCGTAAATATTTTATATTCAGTCCATGAGTGTATATATCTTATATATCATAAATATCTTATATTCAGTTTAAAAACTCCAGCACCACTGCTGTGTCTGATCCACTCAGACCAGCGCAACACACACTAACACACCACCACCACCACGTCAGTGTTACTGCAGTGCTGAGAATGATCCACCCACCAAATAATACCTGCTCTGTGAGGGTCCGTGGGGGTCCTGACCACTTAAGAACAGAGTGCAGAGAAACAGATGGACCTCAGTCTGTAACTGTAGAACTACAAAGTGAAACTATATGGTCAGTGGAGCTGATAAAGTGGACAGTGAGTGTAGAGACGTGGTGGTTTTAATGTCATGCCCATTTGAATTTGGTGTTCTCTGTTGCCCCCTGCAGGCATGATGGAGGTACTGCCAGACCGTTGCACCACCATTGCTAAGAAGGAGTTGCTGTGGGCAGGGACGGTGGGCCTGGTCTGCTGGCTGGGCGGCATCGTTTTCATCAACCGCAAGAAGACCAGCGACGCCAAGAGTGTCATGGCAGACACAGCCAAAACCATGCTGCGCGACCAGGTGAGCCAGGTTCATCCAGTATTATCCCTCCGATCTTCAACCTGCACAGAGGACTAGTAGAGTTAGCATCAAGCTAACGGTGCCTCACGTTCATTTTCCCACCCTGAGATTAATACTAACGTTACTTAAAGCAGATCTAACCAAAACAGGAACGTTTGAAGCATGAAAGACGTTTTACAGTCAGTCGTCATTCTAAATGTACAATAAATACAGCAGAGCAAATTTAAAACATGCATGTTCATTTATACGTATCTATCCATGTGGGTGTGTATACATATCTGATCACCTATATTTCAGCATGTTTTTATGTATTTATTTATGTATGTATGCATGTATTTATTTATTTATTTATTTATGTGTGTAAACGGAGGACTAGCAAAGTAAGAATTTCGTTGTACAGTGTAAGTGCCTGTTTTACTGTGCATATGACAGTAAAACTCTTGGTTTCTTGGTATGTATGTCAGTTAAACTCAGTGTGTTTTAAAGTTTTGATAGTAATGCATTCCATAACTGCAATGACCAGGTAATATTGAAAGAAAAACATCATTAAATAATTGAGGCTATCATTTATAATAATTGGTAAAGGACCAAATATTTTTGCTTTCTTTTGTTTTTTGTTTGTTGTCATTTTTTGTTCAGTGAAGTGCAAGACTAAAGTGGTTAAACTGCCCTCTAAGGCCGGTACTACCACACATCAGATAAACAAACATTACTCACTGCCGCCCTCTACACCGTTAAAAATAGAGGTTCTGTTCAGGTACGTTTTCGTTTATCAAGGTACAAACAGTGTAAATGTTCCCTCAAAGCTCCAACAGTGGTTTTAAGGTCTGATTGTGAACCTTAAATAAGTTTTTCCAGGTGAAAAGTTCGTATTTGTACCTTTTCATAACCGAATGTTTTAAACAGAACAGTAAAATAAAAGCCTGGAGGCGAGACGGGGTGTGTGGAGTCAGTACAGCTTAGAACATATCATTTCAGTGGATTAAGGTACAGTTATGTTCCCTGACTAAAGGTACTGAGATGGAGCCTTGAGGGTCCCACCCCAGTGACAAGAGGGGAACTGACCCAGTGACAGAGAGTGTAAAGGCATCATTTACAAACATCAAATACACAAACGTCGCTCAGCACCACCCTCTAAAGGTGTTCCCTAACAACTGTGGAAGTAATTGCAGTGAATAAATTATGGCAGTCAGGTCAATAATAGTGACAGGCCTGTTTACAATTTGCAAGTTGCAAGAAGAAGATAATAAACACAATAATATTAATATCTCTCTCTCTCTCTCTCTCTCTCTCTCTCTCTCTCTCTCTCTCTCTCTCTCTCTCTCTCTTTGTAGATCTGTTTGTGGGTTTTTCCTGAGGGAACAAGGAATCAGAAAGGTGATATTTTGCCTTTTAAGAAGGGAGCGTTCCACCTGGCTGTGCAGGCGCAGGTGAGCGATCCACACTCACGCCTGTCCCACATTCGCTTTCACACGTTCTCATTTACTGCTGATTGTGCTGTAAATGGTGACTAAACGGCTGAGCGAGCGAGAGTGAGTGATGCCGTGTGTGTTTGATGTGAGGAGCGGTTGTGAACACCAGAGTGTGCTGTTGTTCCTCTGCAGTTCTGGACAGTAGTTGTGTT